TATTTTCTTATACAGGCAAGCATAATGTACAAATTTTGTTACAAACAGGTCTGACTCACCAAGCCCAGAAAATGGCATTTTAAAAAGAAAAAAAAGAAAAAAAGAGCAAGCCACAGTACTTATCACATTTCCCATTCATTTCTCAAGTGATGGCAGCTGTTATGTTCCAGTATATTATGAAAAACACATGGTTGTCAACTGTCATAAATTCACAGTTACCTAAGGCCAAAACTTAAGCAACATGTGATAAGATCATTAGAAAATTCCTGCTCATGGCTTCAGGCAGTGGTCATTTTGAATAACGTAACCCAACAGGCGGGGGGGTTCAAAATTTGGCGTTTATTCCTTTTTAAGTCAACATAATGATTTTTGAATAAGTGTAATTAGCAACCAAGGAAAAGCCTGGAAATGCAGTGCAATTTGATTTATCCAAATAGTCTAATGGTAACATGCGTTGCAATTACAAGATGAGATCCTAGTATAAATATTAGTACTGTTTACATAAGCTTACATAATGATGTGAATTGATATTGCTAAACAGATGAAGGATTGATAGGGGGTTCTGCTCTACTTCAACAGAGTGACTGAAGTTGTGAGAGGTGAAGGGGTACCCTTGGAAATAGCCAATTTCAGTATCTGGAAGGCTGCCCTGTTCTCCATTCAATGTTCCAGGGCCTGGAAGTAAATTGTTCTGCACACAATGACCCTGTCTACACAAGTGATTGCACTGAATGAACAACTTGGAGTCATTTCGGAATCTAGGCTTAAAAATTATGGAGCACAAGCACTTAGGTACAACAATTCAGACAATTATATTACATGAGCAAACCCAGATAACAGCTATAATGTCACCATGTGGAAGGTCTCTATTTCTCACAACACGAAAAAATATTAGTGTGAATTGTAGGCAAGTAATTATCATAACTTAATGAAGATTTAGCAGATTCAAGGACTAGATGAAATGTCACAAGGACTACTTCTGACTTGCAGATCATCCTTGGTGCACAAAGGGAAAAGACTATAAATTGCTCCTAATCTGTATCCAATTTTATGACAGTGAAATAATTTTCAGATACTCGGAATACAGGGAATACAGATTGGACCAGAAAGACAGAAGGAGGCTTGAAGGATGAAAACTATTTTTCCCATGGGTGGATACCGCAAACCATTTTATCAAACAGTGTTCTACTTACTGGACCAAAACAGGAAGAAGTTGTGTGTAATGAACTTGATAATGACCCTGGTGGTGCTAAGGGTGAGCTAATAAGGCAGAAGTCTGCATGAACAACACTAGACATTGTTTCTGAGCTGTTCTCAAAAAAATCCTTGTATGTACAAGGGAGGAGCCTGCAGGGCCTGTCCTACCATTAGGCAAAGTGAGGTGACTACTTCATGCAGTAGATGTTAGGGAACAGTCTCATGGCAGTTCCACCTAGGCCTCTCAGCTATTCCTCTTGTTGGACAGAGCTGTGTGTGCTACCCATGTGTCCTGCTCCCACCCATTCCACTCATCTGCTACCCTCAGGTGCTGTATATAACAGAGTTCTAGCCCTTCACAAGTGTTGAAGTAGGATTGAGCTTTCAGTCCAGATGGCTTCTGTATATGGAAACAAGACAGGGTGCCATTTTGTCCTTTGATTCAAGCAGCAAAATGTTTTGGGCTGGCCCTGGTTGTCTGACCCTTAAAAATGCAATTTCAAATATATGTGGATGATGCTGTAAAGATGAGAAATAAAAAATAGTAAAATGCAAGGGAAAAGAAAGGGGGTAGAAATCTGATGATAGATATCATGCGGAAAACACCCCCCCCCCCCAAATAATCAGCCATTCAGGAAGAGAAGTCTGCGGTATATCTGTACAGAATATTGAATGCTGCCTGCCACAGTATAGATCCAGCTCTGAATATCCTCAGAACATTATGTACTGGCTAGCTGAGGAAAACAATGAATGACATCTGTTTTTTCTGTATTGGTGCACATTATGTATTCTGCTCCAATTCATTCAAGTAGTAAGGATTTGCCAAAGAGATGTCTGAAGAAAAGGAAAAGGTCCAAGTGAAATAGCGAAGAAAAAACTAAATTCTATGTTTAACAGTTTATCTAGAAGCAAATCTGTTCGTGTCATAAACCCTTTATTCTCCTTCCAGTAGAGCCTTAGAGACCAACAAAGTTAGTTATTGGTATGAGCTTTCGTGTGCATGTGAACTGAGAGTTTTTGTTCCAAAATCCAAAAGGCATGAAGAAGTAGAGTTACTTAGAGGTTTCTGGGTGTCATTTGTGTGGGCTGAATTGTCACGAAGCCCAGGAACAGCTTTATTTCAGAAAGTAGATTGAATCTCTTAACGTGTCAGTTATTTTGCAGGCAAACTATGCACAAATATACACAGCAAAGTCCTGACAGTTTGTAAAGAAAAGCAGCCCAAAATAATTGAAGTCTTGAGCAGAGGATCAGCAAGGTGCTTGGGTCTTTCCCAGCCAAATAATTTTTAGCTCAAAATCAGCTCCCAGTTTATTTCCTTCACCCATGTGATTGGTTCCACATCCATTTCACAGAAAAAACAGCCTGTGGGGAAAGGGTTAAGCACCACTTTCCTCCTCCTGATGCTCTTTTCACATATTTTTTAAAAATGAAGGCCTTTATTGCAGACATTTGCCTGAAATGCAGATCTTTCCCTCAATACTTTTTTTTTGTTGCATTTTTATTAATAACAGAACAATCCAGCACAAACAATAGGTTGCAGTTTGTATGCCCCAGAATTATATCAGCCAAGCCTCAAAACATATACAGCCCATAGCAGATCGGAACATGTAAATTCAAGTGTTCCATGCAAACTGCACCAGGTCAAAGAGTCTCTCCAAAAGGAGCTCTGAAGATCAAGAGGTCTGGGCTCCTCTGACCTGCAGTTGATCTAGGAGGTCAAAGACACCCAGTGTGCACCAGAAGTATTCTGTATGCTTTCCTCTCTAGCAAGCCTCAGACTTTATTTTAAGTATACAGTGGTACCTCGGGTTAAGTACTTAATTCGTTCCGGAGGTCCGTTCTTAACCTGAAACTGTTCTTAACCTGAAGCACCACTTTAGCTAATGGGGCCTCCTGCTGCCGCTGCACCGCCGGAGCACGATTTCTGTTCTCATCCTGAAGCAAAGTTCTTAACCTGAGGTAATATTTCTGGGTTAGCAGAGTCTGTAACCTGAAGCGTCTGTAGCCTGAAGGGTCTGTAACCCAAGGTACCACTGTATAGAGATTGAGAATGTAAATGAGAATATAAATGGAAAAGGTGTTCTTGAAGGTGTTTGGTCCTCTCCCATGACAACACCAGGCTGCATTTCCTCCCCTGAGACTTGCTCATGGCTCACATTTTCAGAACTTTCTAGCATGGGTGCAGGTTGGATTGTGTGTGATAGTAAAAATAAGAAGGAGAAGCCTCCCATTCTAGAGTCCTCCTTCTGACAACCTTCTCCACTGGTGAATCCTGCTTTGGTTGATATGCATTTAGCAGCAAACCTTACCTTTCCCAGCTTATGCTACCAAAACTCACTGTTGGTTGGGGTGGAACTCCACCCTGCTCCTGTCTTCCAGCCATGTGTAGACTCTGTCGGGAATGGGGTGGATCATTCCAAGTTCCTGGCATAATGAGGACTCTGGAGTTCCTGTATCTTATCGATTCATAGAACTGTAGAATTGGAAGGCGTCCCAAGCATTACCTAGTCCAACCCCCTGCTGTGCAGGAATCTCAGCTTGATCATACATGACAGGTGACCATGCAACCTGATTTAAAACCTTTAAGGAAGGTCCACCAACTCTCCTCTTCCACTTTCAAACAAGAGGTTGTAATTTTGCCTCCTCACTGACAAGAAACTTTTTCTGAGGATTGCCAATAATGCCCTTCTGCATTCTATGTAGGATAGACAGGCCAGTCTCTACGCAAGAGAAGAAACAGACACAAATCTGACATCAGAAATGGCAGTATACCAAGACACTAGGGGCACATTTCTCTGTAACTGAGCTTAAGGTGGCCATCCTGGAGCTAAAGAGTAAAATCCATCCAAGAGGTTAAATGCCACCACTGGCATGATGGATTATTATCAAACCACCGATGCCAAAATTCCTGCTAGCAACCAACTGTTTTGTGAATCAGCCCCAGGGTTGCCACCTTTCTTTTGGCAAAATACAGGATGGGGTGTTGCAATTTTTTTTAATTATCTGCTGCTGAAGTGACTTCAAAGTGATCCGTTACAATCTGTTGCAGCCTAACAGGATGGCCCCTCTGGAATTTGTCACAGAAATTTGTAAATCTGGCTGTGCTTGGCTCCCCAGAGCTTAAATGAATGAACTTTCACACAGCCTTTCAAACGCATGCATTTGGAGAAGACCCCTAACTTGGCAGAGAGAGAGAGAGAGAGAAAGAGAGGACAAAATTCTATCAATACAGGATGTAGCATTTTACATCGAAATACGGGACAGTCCTGTATTATATAGGACGGGTGGCAACGTTATCCCCGTCTGTGCGTTTCCTGACCTTCCTGCCTGCGCTCCCTCCCCTCGCGCGCAGACGCAACCCGGGCTGACACTTCATGCAGCTGATGGAGCAGACTCAGACTGCAGTCCCGGGAAAGTTTACGCCATATGGAATGTGTTAGTCTTTAATGGCTCCAGGAGACTTTCGCTTGCTTTCGCTTAGCAGGAAGCGCCCGGACCACCTGCACAGCGCCTGCCCTCCTCCGAGTCCATTCATTAGCATGCCTTCCCCGTCGTTGCGCAGCTCTGCCTTTCCCGGGGTGGGACTCCTCGGAGAGAAACTGCGGCGCTCGGAGAGGGGAGAGGCGACGCCGGGAGGGGCGGGCCCGAGAGAGAGAGAGAGAGAGAGAGAGAGAGAGAGAGAGAGAGAGGGCGAGCGCTTGAAAGCGGACTCTGCGATTGGCTGCCCGGACCGCGGCGCGCTGCAAGTTGGGCGGGAGACGGCCGGGCTGCCCCACTCTCTCCGCGTGCGCCCGGCCGCCATGGAGCGCAACTGGAGCGCCGTCGGCGGGCAGGGCAATGCCTCCTCGTCGAGCGGGCCCGGGGAGGCGGCGGCCGCGTGGGCTTTCGGCGCGGTGCTGTCGGTGATGTATGTGGCCGGCGTGGCGGGCAACGTGTACACGCTGGGTCTGCTGTGGCGCTCGGGGCGGTGCGCCCGCGGCGCGCCCTTGTCTGGCTCCATCGCCAGCCTGGCGCTGGCTGACCTGCTCTACCTGTGCTCCATCCCCTTCATCGTGGGCACGTCGGTGGCGCAGGACTGGTACTTCGGCGAGCTGGGCTGCCGCGTGCTGCTCAGCCTGGACCTGCTCACCATGCACGCCAGCATCTTCACGCTGACCGTCATGTGCACCGAGCGCTACCTGGCCGTCACCAGGCCGCTGGCCACGCGGCAGCGGTCGCGGCGCTTCAGCAAAGCCACGGCCGGCGCCGTCTGGGGGGTGTCGCTGCTGCTCACGCTGCCCATGATGCTGATGGTCACGCTGAGCCGCAGCAAGGACGGCAAGCACATCTGCGCGCCCACCTGGAGCCCCGACGCCTACCGGCTCTACCTGACCGTGCTCTTCAGCACCAGCATCCTGGCCCCGGGGCTGATCATCGGCTGCCTGTACGCCCGCCTGGCCACCACCTACCTGGAGTCGCAGAGGAACCCTCCGCGCAAGAAGGAGCCCAAGCGCTCCCCGCGCCAGAAGGTGCTCATCCTCGTCTTCACCATCGTGCTGGTCTTCTGGGCTTGCTTCCTGCCCTTCTGGATCTGGCAGCTGGTGCCCCTCTACCACGGGCCCCTCGGGCTCGCGCCCCACACCCAGAAGTGCATCAACTACCTGGTGACCTGCCTGACCTACAGCAACAGCTGCATCAACCCTTTCCTCTACACGTTGCTCACCAGGAACTACCGCGAGTACCTGCGCAACAGGCACAGCAACTTCTACCGCTTCACGTCGTCCTTCCGCAAGAGGGGCTCCAGCCTGCACTGCTCCTGGAGGCGATCCACCTCCTCCGGCACCCACGGCGAGTCCGGGTCCGAGGCCCTGAGCATGGCCACGTTAAGGGACTGCAAATGAACTCTCTCCCCCCGGTTTCTTGGGAGCAGCTTGCATACACCTCGGAGATCCAGGTGGGCCTGGGCAAGGTAAGGCCTCCTGTGTGTCTGACTACAGTTTGGGAGGAGTTGGGCCCACTTCCAAGGAGGGACACTTAAGTAAGGAAAGGCTTGTGTAGAATGAGCCTAGCTTTGCTTACTCAGAAGTAAATCCCTTTGATTTCAGCCAGACTTGTTTCCAAGCAAGTACTGCCAGCCTAACTGTGCCAACTACCAACAGTTCCATTAAGCACTGGTGAAACTTCGGAGTAAATATGCGCAGCATTGTACAATAAGCTTGTTAATTCAGAAGTAAGTCTTCCTTGGTGGCACTACAGCCTGATGCTGTTCATATAAAATGGAAACTCTCTTTTGAATTTGGTGGGTTTTACTCCTAGATAGGTGTGCATAATCGTGCAGCCTTAAATTAGATCACGTCAGTTGTGAATGTTGTTAAAGTGGACCAGAAATAAAAGATATGCCCTTTTTAAAGTAGTTGGGCATCCTGGTCCATGTGTGATTTGTCTTTGCAGTGGAAACCCAGGATTTTTTATATTTTTTATTTGCTTCTGTCCAAAGCCTATTCAAGTATCACTTGTGTAAAGATGCTTTCAATCTGGCATATCTAAACCTATCTCTGAGTGGTTCCTAGGATCAGCAGCTGGCAGAACCTCTGATTGTGCCCCTCAAAGTTGAGGCCACAGGCTGTGCAGTTGTCAAAAAGGGGGAAATAAATTTGGGAGCTAGAACAGATGTAGAAGGGACCTGCTAGCAGGTTGCTAAGGCTGCTCCCTCACACTTGCTTCTCAGAGCATCTCTGCTCTGGCAAAACTATTTGCTGACTTGGGCCACAGAGGAAAAAGTGGCACCAACCCAAATATTCTAGTCCAGACTATCCCAACTTCTGATCAAATTCTCTCCCCCAACCCTTAACAAAAAATTAAAAAAGGCCTGGAGTGACACTGGAGTCCCTTCAAACATTCAGAATGAAACAGAGCACTTGGTACAGTTCTCACAGAACTACAGAATTTCAGAATTCGGGGGTGGGGGGTGGGAGGAGTTACATGATTTAATCCTATATATTAAGTCTTATGCTTGAGAAAAGCTAGCACATTTGGGAAGAGGATTTAGCTGGCTTTCTATGGGCAGGGATTTTTTAGGTGAGGAAACCATTGAAATACGTGTCACACACTCAGTCCTGCATCCTTGGAAGTTAATTGCATACTTCTTTTCTGAATGTTTGTCAGGTTCATTGTTTTCTTACATAGACTGATCAGTGAGAAATGCTTTTGTGCCTTCACTAGATCATTCTTAAGCTTATTTCAGACCTAAGGAGCCATGATTCAGGCTGCAGTCCTAGCTTTGCTTAGGTCTCATTGAACTCTGTGGGACTTCTGAATAGGCATGTTTAGTATTGCACTACACAAATCTTCATTTTCCACTTGATTGTTAGATTTGACTTACAATACTTACACCTGTCTGAGAACACTGCGCCATTCTGCTTTGCATTAGCTCATTGTCGAAGCCAATGGCTGTGACAGCTTTAGTTATACAGTGTCAGTGGCCTTCATACATAATCTTTCTTTAGACTAAGGTAATCTTTTAAAAGAGTGTCATTCTGAAAGACTCTTGCTTCTGGGTAGGGTTAGAATTGGGCTGAATATGAGTTTTGCTAGTGGAACTGGAGTCTGGACCCAAACAGAAATGCAACCGAACTAGGCCACCACTACCATTTTGTTTTTGGTGAATGTGGTGAAGGCAGAAATTTGAGAGGAGGAGGAGAATATTGAGAAGGGAGAAGATGTTCCATATACCTGAACAGGTTGAAACCTGCTGGCTTAGAATAATTTAAGAGTTTTTCTATCCATACAGAATATACACCCCTCTTAATTAATTTCTACAATTAATATAGCCAGAATAAAAGTCCACTCAGACAGTGATTTATTTAATTAGGGTTGGACAAACAATGTGCAATCACAGGTTTTTTTTACTGGTATGTCTGAAGCTCCAGAACACCTTACACTAGTTTTGATTTTGAGGCTGATAGTCCCTGAAAAACATGCAGTCTCTGTAGTCTTTCTAAATGGCCAATGCCCCTCCAAAAATAGCCTATATGCACGAAATCTGCCTTTTTGGTACTAAATGATAAGTGGAAAGTCTTTATATTTGTTTGGAAAATAATGATGGAATAGTTTGATAAAATTGCTGCTTCCGCAAGATCAGGACCATTTATTAATACTTGCTTTTACATTCATCTATGTGGAAAAGTCCAGTGTGGGAGGGGGTGTTGCTACATAAACCAAGCAATAGGATAGAAGTTTTAAATATATATGTACTTTTTCTGGGAATAAAGTGTGCTTTTGTTCCCCCCCAACATAATGCACCTTGGAGGAACAATAATGAATGGTAAGGAAAACTCAGGGTAGTCCAGAGTGTGTGAAAGCTACATTTTAGATAACTGTTAGCCTGGAATGAATGCTGGCAAGAAGTGAAACTGCTCCCACTATAAATGATATCCAGGAGCTGAGAAATCTCAAACTCTTTGATCCACAGCAGTCCCACAGAAATAAATTCTGTGGGTTGTATGCAACACAACCCTCAGGCTCCTGTTCTACCAGCACCAGGATTTCTCATTGTGCCACAGAATGAGAAATCCTCTCATACCACACACCCCTAAATCTGTTCTGGGAGTTCCCCCAACCCTCTGGAGCATATTTGGGGGTAGAATAAGTCATTTTGTGATAGCAGTAATCCGTGCACTCACTTGGTTATCTAGTTGAATACTATCCTTTGTAAGTATCCTGACAATTACTTTCCACAAACACTTAAACACCTGCTTACCCACACTTTAAAAGGCTGTCAATAAAAAAATTGGTTTGTCGAATCATTATGTGAAATTCATTTCAGCGCCATGAGCCTTCTCTTCCTGTCCCTTGGCTCTTCCTGCCTCCTTATGGCTGAGCTGTGATGAGAGAAGCCATGTGGAAAAATTCTCCACTCCACTCTAACTTGGAATGACACAGGAGTCTGACAACCCTGTGGCCTCTTGGTATTGTAGCCCAAGGTGCCCAAGCCTCATCCACAGCATGCTTGCCTCCTTTCCTGATGATTGTATACAATTCCCCACACCTAGGCTAGGAGAATTTCCCCTGCACACCCTTCTCCTTAGTCCCACCTTTCTTCCACCACCCATTTCCTTAGGCCCCTGATCTTAAGCCTACACCTTCCAACAGGCTTTTCCTCCTTACACTGGCCAATTCCTTGTGCCACACAGAGTGTTCACAATTAGCCAGGCATTTTGCACCTAGCTTTCAACCGTTTGTGACCAAGTGAAGATTGAATTTTGGGAACCAAAATGCTTTTTCTGTGCAGCCTGAGCAGGAGCAGTCGCTGTTAAGAAAAAGAGGTTGGAATAGGCCAGTATATATGTAGATTGTCCCGCTATCAAGTGACTTTTCTTCTTTAAGTCAAGCTCTTAACCTAGATCAAGGTTGTCATCTGAACTAGCCAGATGTTTAACTGAGAATCAATCACAGTCAGTCCATCATTTGAAAAATAAGGCATTAGAGCCGGCTTGCCCCCAAATGGCAACTAGACATTCCATTTTGGCAACTGTAACCTTGGTTTAAGGAGCCATTTGGCACCTATCTTACATATCTGAGTTTCTAACACTGTCCACACGCACTCTCAGAAAGCTGCCTTGTCAGATAAAGGGAGAATGCTCCTGTTTTCCCTTTCAGTCAACAGCCATTTCTGCCTTTGTGCTCTGAGTAATGCTGGGTCCCCACTCCTCAGCCTCCTTTCTTATTGGTGCTTGACTTCTTCCTAGGCCTCTTTCTCCTTCACCTGCATTATCCTCAGGCTTCTGTCTCTTTGCACCTTTCGCTCAGTGACCCATGTCTCTGGGCTGCCTGTTCCTTCATTTCCCTATTGCCTGGGATCTCTTCCGACTCAGCTTTTGCATTGGTGGTGGTCAGATGGACTTCTACTTCCCTATAAAAACTGACCTGTTTATCACCTTTCTGTTGTCCAGAGCTTCTTTAGCTTAGCACAGTAGGCCTGTTCTTAGGCTTCTGGTCTACACCTTCACTGTACGAGTGGCAGGATAGTTTGTGGCCACTGGTCCCACTCACCTGCTGACCCCACACCCAATCTCTCTGTTGGGTGGATTGTGAGAACGGATCCGGTAAGCGCACAGCAGTATGTGCAAGTAGGCTTCCCAGCTGTGAGAGCAAGCGCTATTATGGGTCATGTGACCTATGTGAACCTCTGCTTCTCTGTGAGCATCCTGTGACATCACAACAGCTCACCTTGTTACTCTTGGGAGTTTTCTCCAGCACTACAAAATCCCTTAACAAAAAACGCCAATGCTTTTGGTTGATACTGCTTAATGGTCTGGGGCATCTGAATTAGACTTAATGAGGCAAATTTGTTCTTGGTGTAGCGCTCCTGAAGTCATAATGATCCCATTTCCCTGCACAGCCTAGGTAATGGCAAATTTCCATTACAGATACTTCATAAATATGTTCTGGAGAATTACATCTGTAATAAGAAAATGAAAGGGGCAGGCACATTTATGGCTTGTTCTTGTGAGGTAGCAAGTGTTCTAAATAGCAGTGCCCTGGCATTTCAAAAACATCCATATTCCATTTGGTATGTATTACTGCATTTATACGTACCACTGCGTGGCTTAATTTGGAGAGGGCGGTGGATTGCATTCCATCCTCTACCCCCAACCTAATTCATTGAGATTCTGCTGCTGACTCAAGGGAATATTTCCATGCACAAATGGACCCATTCTGCTCTCTCTTTCTCTTATAGGGAACTAGAGCTAAGTGATTAAGAGTTTTCCTTCCCAGATGGAAGACTATAGCAGTCAAATGTCTGCTGACCTTCCTATACTGAAAGGCACAGCACTGGAGTTAGTAAAGTGTCAAAGCTAGTTGTGGTCTTTTTCATCTTAAGCCATTTAGGACTTCTGCA